CGAGACAAACAGTGTTCAGTATCATTCAAATTTCATCTGAAAGAACTTTAAAAAAATGAGCCTCAGTAAAAATACTTTCTAAGAAAATTCCAAATCCCCTTTTTTTTTTTTCAAGAAAAAAAAGTGCGTCACCTTGCGCAGGTTACTTGTCAAAGCAAACTAGCCAAGGTCAATTGAAAAGCTGTCTATCCTTATCACTTTTTGTGCTGACTTCGACCAATTAATTTCTATTTGGAAAACAAGGTCCTCTAGGAGATTCCATTTTAAAAATTCAATGGAGATCAAGAAGTCTGTTGACGAGTGGATAAACAGTACTTCAGACGACTTACTTACAAAACCTTTATTCAAAATGAGATCAGCACTTTCTAAGATAACAGTGATCAAGTTGAATGATTTGGTTGCATTACTGAAATGCGGGATAATAAGAAGAATCAACAGAATTTCTAAAAGTTCTTCGATGCTTTGCTTATTTGCCCCGTTTGTAAATGGATACCGAAAAAGCTTGGAACCCATCAAAAAAAAGAAGCTCCTAAATCTTTTATTCAAAGAAACAGAAATAAAGTATGATGACATAAAGTTCTCTAGCGGTATTTGTGTACGGCCTAAACAAGCCATTGGTTAAGCAAGTCAAAGGGAACTTCTGACAAAACTCGACAATCATGACGACCCAAGACACCACCTAATATGGCTCAAAAATTCGCTCTAAAGACACAAATTGAAAAAATTTTACCTCTAAGAAAGCAAATTTGTTAAAAATGTACCAGTCCGGTGAGAGCAAGTGTTGTTTTCAAGAAAAGTATTCCACCCAATTGCTTAAAAATTCTTGAGGTGCTCACTTTCTCCGCTACATTAATGGCTCAGTTATAATCGATCCTAACGCCATAATTTAGAAAATTATTAAAATATTACTATGGAATTGCATTTAGAACTTTAAAATTGATTAGACTCTTCGCTGTTTATTCCCCTAAATTCCAGCCCAAACCTTTTCACAAACTTTCGTTTTATTCGACAGTTCTACTTTTTTTTTCCACTAAATCATTTTAAGTAGCCTACTTCAGTTACCCAACAAACAAATAGGTGTTAAAGGTACGAGTCGCGTAAAGTTAATACTGGTTTACTCGTTTTATAAATCATATTCCAGTCTGAAAGATTTCCGTTTACTAGAACAAGAAATGTGAGTTTCCATACTTATAAAGAATTCATGTGGAAAGCTCAAAAATTTTTATAACGAGCAGAAATACTGGAATGTAAAACTTCGACATCCAGCGTCTGAATAAGTCCCTTTCCGTTTCCAGTTTTAAAAGTTCTTTAGGTACTTAGGCAAAAACATAATGGTTTATTGCTACCCTTGTAATACCCTGCCCATAAGATTCCATATTCAGATTCTCAGTCAATGACCTTTCTTTTTTCACGCCTAGGTCCAACCGTTCCATAGCTTCAAAGGTTTAACGAATTACAAAACTAACTTAAATCAAGATTAATTTTTCAGTAGAACACTGTTTTCCTTTTATTGTTAGCTCAAAAACTCTTCAAATGAATTTGGAATCAGAAAAGCATGCACCAGAGAGAATCAAACTTAACTCTATCTAGAAAAACTTTGGCAGTTCAGAAATCGCTGTAATAAAATGTGTTAAAAATCTTTAAAAGATTTCGGAACAAAAGAACACTATCTTATCCATTCATTTCCGAACTATTTTTAAAAAAAGCGAACTTTTATGAAGACCTGAAGTAAGAACTAAAACCCCAACCTCGTATAGCACAGCAGCTTGGTCAAACGGCGAACCAACTTCAAAAGCTTTCACGCCTATTACAGCAAAGTTGTCTTTGACCATCTGCACAAATGGCATCACTTTTTTCAGAACCTTTTTGAGTGAGTCTTTTGCTATTAACGAGGAAAAAATCTCCTTATTGTCAGGTAGAGCACCATTGTTCTTCTGAAACATTTGTCTGTTTAGAAACTAATAACTTAAATGCTAACACATTTACTTACTTTACATATCTCATCTAAAGCGCCAAGTACTTCCCTTTGCCAGCTAGGATACTCACGAGCGATGTAAATGATAGCTTCTGTCGGGGGACCAGCATGAACAGTTGTCGCCTTTTTCTTTGCAACAAAGTGATTTTTGAGCCTTGTCCGAAATTCCTAAACTTTTTGTCAGTTATGGCAAATTATCCCTTTGTAAGTGATCCAAAGAAAACAAGTACTGTGCTGACCTTGATACAATCTTCCATGAAAACTGCTTCCCTTTCGATTAAATCATCTGCAGGCGCATGCGTAGGCCACCTTTCTTCAACTATTAAATTCTTCTAAATTAGGTCACTAGTCAAAAAAAAAGGATGACCAAAACCATGACTGACGAGCTACGGAAAATATAATAAATGAATAAAACTGAAGCATAAGAACAACAGCAACAGCTAAAAATAATAGAGACCTTTCCAAGGATATTCCATATCTTTTCGCAAACGTGAGGACATATTGGAGACAAAATAAGCGCCTGAGTTTCAATCCAACGAAAAACGAGGTCAGCACGCATGCCACTGTCACCGCCGCACAACTCACGATACTTGTCTC